TATATATATATATATATATATATATATACACATATATATATATACACATGCTCTACATGCTAGTGCATAAGGTATAAAGCAAAGTGGAAATTGGAATATAGAGCTCATAACATGTACTATGAACCAAGTATCACAGTATTATAGCATACTATTTTATACACAACTTAATGCCAAGTTTTCAACGCCTAGCATAAAATAGTATATACCGAACAAAGTGTACTATATAACATGCCATATATCATATGCAATGTATATTAGTATAAACATATATACAGAGACATATTTACATGTATGCATCCGTAAGATGTAAGCATAGAGTGCATATAACAATCTACACACATAGTATGTCTGCACACACACGCACATATAGTTACACACACACACATGTACACATTTAGGTTCTTAAGACTACATACATGCTGGAATTTTTTATGCGCGGTCCATAGTCAGGGCAAGTCCCTGCCTTTATCTTCGACCGAATCGTGTCAACCACACTTTGTGGCAAAGTATTCCTGCTTGGAGAGACTTCGTGGCAGTATGGCAGGGGGATACTTGACGACGGTGCAGTGCAAGTACTCTGGACATCTCTGGACAGATTCTCAGCTAATCTGGCGACGCACGCGGTCGAGACTTTGGGAGAAACTTCATGCGCTTCCAGTGTACTTCGCTCAGGACAGCACTTGCTGCTGGTACTTGGCTGTGGCGAACACTGGCTCTTGTCTTGGCGGGGCTTACGGTTGACCTCATATTTGCAAGGGTTTTTCAAGCTTGTGGTGATCGGATGCCGACAGATGTCTGAGAACTTTGCAAAGCAATCCAGCTTGAAGGAGCCATCCTCGACCTTTTCCACTGCATGTCAATGTGATGGTGCAACGACATGCAGTCGCCGGCCTTGCTCAAGCCGAGATCCTGATTCAGCTTCTCCTTCAGCAAGCCATGGCGGCCCTCGAGAGATTCTGTGCCTCAGACGTGCATCCACCCCGATTGTCTGGGTTGCCATTCCGTTGGTATTTCATTGACTCCAGCAGCCGAGAACCAAGCCGAGAAAAGACACCAGCTCGGCAATGTCGACGTTGCCAGAGGCATTGGTGTCCAACCTTCGAAAGGTGTGTCGGAACCCTTCATCCATGAGCACGCAGGCACTTCCGCTAAGATTTTTGTGGGCGAGGCGTTGCACACAAAGATGAGATCTGGTAGTCATTGAGGCTGGAAGGCGGAATCCTGCCAGGATTTGCGCCGAGCTGCTCTCAAAACGACCTGCTGCCTACAAACGGACATGTTCTTGATCCGGCTTGCCAATGTGTAATTACTGATCACATGCGCCAAAGAGCTCAGTCTATGCATGTGTTGCAACTGGAGCAAGCGAAAACGTATTCTCCAACTGCACAGGACTGAACAAGCTCCCTGCAAAGATGAACGCCTCGATCTACAAGCTGAACGCAATCCCAAAGGAACAGGAGCATCGGTGCCGCGACAATGCGTGAGCCTTTCCTCCAAGCTTGGGATGCTCGGGGCGGGAAGCATGCCGCGCCTGAGGATTCGACGCAAGGCACCTCTCACCTCGTGGAAGCAAAGCGTGCCAGAGCCATCCTGCATCCAGAATCTTTAGCAGAGAGCAGCGACAGGAAGCGTACAACTGCAACTACACTCAGACTCAACCTCTGATGCAATTGCTGCAGGTCGGGTCCTTGTCGAAGCGCTTGAAGATGACATCATAACCTTGCTTCGGTCCTGTCATGAATACAGTATGCTTCTTGAAGAAAAAGGCCAAGAAAGGTAACCCGAAACCAGCGGAAGGCCGGTCCAACGTACGCAGCGGACTTGATCTTTGAGCGAATCCTTGTGACACGCAGGGCTTCACCGCAAGAAGTCTGCGCTAACTGGCGGCTGCAGTGCAGCAGAGCATCAGAGCGAGGGATTCTTTCGATAAGTGGCCAGCCACCGGTGCCTGGCCAGCAAAGAGGCACGGCGACCGGTGTAGCACCGGTAGTCTCTTTGCATTCTGAAGCCTGCGGCTCCCAAAATGCACATAACTGTCACTGGGCCATCGGCACGAGATGCTGTATTCGACCTCGACGCTGAAACGGATGACTTGCTGACGTCCTTCTGCGCCGGTGTTCCAACATAATGATCCAGTTGATCCAACTCGTTCAAAGTTCAGAATTTTCAAGGACTGTTTAAGGGCAACTTGTCGGAAGCGGGGCAGTCGGGCTCCTTGTTGCAGGCGATCTTGGAGCACTGCCTGTCAGATTCTGCCCCCGGCCCCTGGCCTGCGAATGTCAGGGGTTTCCGCTAAGGTCTGCGCATATCGATGTTCCAAGACGCCTTGAAGCTGCTCGCGGCTCGACAGCTCGACAAGAAATGTCTGACAGGCACAGTTGCCGAAGAGCCAAGAGGCTGTGACGGCTGCCAGGTGCATCTGCAGTCGACTGCTCGAACTGCGCAGTTTGGACCTTTGCCCACGCTGGCATGGCTGCCAGCTCATGTTCGTACAACGCGGCGAGATGCAGCAACTCCCGCATCTTCTCGCACTTGTTGCTCAGGACACGCACCTGACTGATGTTGCCGTGAGCTGCTGCTTTACTTTCACAAACGACAGCACTGTAACCATCTTCGATTTCCAGGATGCCCTCCCAGGCCAGGCACGTTGCTCCTCGCATTGTGCATGTGCTCCTTCAGAAGCAAAGTTTCGGAACCGATGCCGGCGCCAGGGGAGCGAGGGCCGGTGAACGTAGCGTTCACAGGCTTGTCACCGCCCGGTTTCTTACGCTCGGTCCTGCATCCGGTCGGAAGCGCTGAGGCGCATGTCCTTCCATGCCGCTATCACGTGTGCTACAGACGAGGCTCGTACGACTTTCTGACCGGTCCTGCTGCACGGCAAGCGGCAAGCGCTGATCAAATCTGAGCCGCAATAACGCAAGCGGACATGTTCTAGATGGCAAGCCGCAGGTGGCTATCTCAAGAAAAGATGTGCCTCTCAAGCGGAATTTCCTGGCTCTGTTCCCACTGCTCCAGTGACCTGTCTTTGGTTACAGGAAGTACTCGTGAACTTGCGAGAGTAGTGTTTTATACAAGAACGGACGAAGGGTGAATTAGCATCTAAGAGCGGAGCGTTCTCTGGCCGTTGATCTCCTTCTGCATATGCTGCAGGAGTGCCTCTGTGCGGTTGATATCCAGCTGACCTCGGCCAGGGCAACGATCTGACGACGACTCTGGACAACACCTCGCCGACTTCTTGGCCAAGCATGCCTTGTGCAACACTTTCCTCCAGTTCGCGCTTTTGCTGGGAGAGGTTGAAGATACTTGCCTGCATACCTGGCCAGCTTGCGACCTAAAACAAAGTGTACCCGCTTCTTCATGACAAGTCTGCAGGGGAGCATGACTGACAAGCTTCTCGAGCAGTCCCGACCTGTCGCAAGCAGATGCAGGCACTGTTTATCACTGTTTCCGCATTGCAGCATCCGGCTGCCTGTTGCTTCGCCCGCACGGACAGCTCGCCCTTGGCTGGCCAAACCGGCTACGTAGCATGCGCTGATGAGTGTTTGCCTGAGGCTTCGACTGCATCGTCCAGGAACTTGGCCGCGTCTCTCTCAAGCTGCTGTGTCCTCTGGAAAACTTGATTGAGCCTTCCACAAAACATTGCTCCTGAAGCGGCCTTTCCAGTAATTCGTTGGTGTGCTTCACCTCATGTGCTCCGCAGGAGTACGTGAGCGACAAACGTGAATACCTTGCAGCCCTCGGCAGGTGAGCAATAGTCAAGTAGCAGATCTGTGAATGTTCTCACTGGTCTCCTCGCCTTGGGCTGCAGCTGAAAGTCAGCAAGTAGTCTTGGCGATCAAACGCTGAGGCTCGCACTCCAGGTCTCCTCTTTGTCCAAACATTTGTGGGTGGTACCAAATTTGAAGGGTCGCATATCGTAGCCCGACTGCCTGACCAAAATGCCGAGGACACAGGACAGCTTCCTTATCTTCCTCGCTTACTGATCGTTTTGTTGCAGGCAAGAGGCACATCGCCATCAGCTGAAGTGGCGCTGTTCTGCCTCAGAGGGATGCCCGTCAGAATACCCTGCCGCATCCGAGAGAGTGCCCGCGAGTTCTTCTGCACACCTGTAGTTTTCAATGCCCTGATGCAGACATATGCAAACTTTGTGCGATGTTGGGTGAATTCTTTGCCCAACTTGCCAGATACATTAGCTTACTAGTCTTACTTATGGCAACCGAAAACTGGCTGAATACCAGTTACCGATGTGGTCGGCACTGCTCAGGTGGTAGCTTCATCCCATGGCCATTCTGTTCAGGAGTGCAGCTGTGGGGCTGCATCCGTGAACGTCGTGGCGTCAGGCGGAATACCGCTTGATGCGGGCCCGTTCTGCTGGAAGGGGTTTGCATCATGGCCCAAGACAAGATGCGATGAAGCTCGCTGCTGCCGCTGACTTTGAGTCGGCTCCCACAGGCTCTGTGATTGCGAGGGCTTGCTTCGCAAACCGATGCTCGGACCGCGAGTTGCCACTGACGCAAGGCTGGTGGATGTGCTGGTCGAGATCAGTCTCGGACTTGCCGGCACCAGGATACTGCTGGGTAACCCAGTACTGCCAGGGAGAAGCGGGCTTGACGAGTCTTTGGGTTGTAAAGGCCTTTCCCGCGACACCCTGGGCGTCACGATAGTCGAGCCCGACGCATCCTGTTGCAGTATTGTGCGGCCACGGGGCATCGCAGCAACCGTTGTAGTCTGCAGCACGCCTGGCATGTAGACTCTTCGAGATGACTGAGGATGCTCTTCCAGTACGTCTTCGCTGCCTGACTGCAGGGTCTAAAGCGCCTGAGATGCACTTACGCGCTTGATTCGCCAGGCCTTCTCCGGTGCGATCCGCTACCACAACCACAGCCCGCTCAATCAAAGCTCCGCTCAATTCCTCGCCACGCTCGGCGGCCAAGGCATTGCCGAGCAGCAGGCAACCTTCCGCAGAGGCATGACGGAAGCCTACTTGTCGGGTATCATGGGGAACTAAAGGTTAACCTTTGTGGTTATATCGGGGTTATAGAGGGACTATACTACCGAAAAAAAGGTTAAAGGTTAACTACTCTACTACTAGGGAAGTCTTGTCTTGCTCTCCTTGTCAGGCTCGCTCAGATTGGGCACTTGTTTGACAAAAACTGTTCCACAGCCCGCGTCATTCCGGTATGTTAGGCAGTTTGTGTGTTTGTGGTTGTCAACCACTGTGAACGAACCACGCAAGCCTGTTAATGTTCGCAGTTGCGTGAGATGCTGTCATCAGCGAGCCCAAACACAACGTGTGCACCCTTTCTTCGTCCCTCAAGCTACATCCGTCTCTCTCACCCTCTCCGTCCTCTCAGCGTCAGGTTTCACAAACTGCACAACCACACGTGAACACATCTTAGCTTTTGCCGAAGTGACTCTTGATCTGCCGGCCATTGAGCACATGGCGTGAAAGCTTGGAAGGGTCTGCTTGGGAATGCGGAAGTTTCCTCAGCATTGATCTGTGGCTGCACCGACAATTTCTCTCCTGACGTGCAAAAACCTTAACTTTAAATGCCAGGTGGCTGAAGAAGGTTCCGCCAAACTGCCTCGCGACCTTTCTGGCTCAATGGCTCGTAGTGAAGTGCCACGGTGATGCGGGACCTGACCTGGGCAGTGTAAGTGATCTATCTCCCACGAACGCTTACGAAGGCTTGGTCAGATAATGTCAGGCACCCTACTGCAGGATCGATGTTGCTGGCCCTGTTTGAGGTCAAGAAGAGGATTCCTGACCAGGGCGCCCAAGTGCAGAGGTGCTTTACAGATCCTGACATATCCGTCTGTCCACTAAACGGAGAGTCCCGATATGTCCCGATGCCTTGGATTGCTCCTTTGACAGTCAACTGACTGGCGTTTGTTTCGTCCAAACAGTCTAAATATCGTCCTTGCCTTCAACGCCCCTGTGCATCTGTCAAACATATGGCATTCAATCCAAAGCTTCAGCTCGTCTCTGAGAAACGGGACCATGAGAAAACGTAGATACGGACTGTTGATTCTGGAGGGTGTGTCTTGTGCATCATGAATCTCCCGGCAAAGGCTGATGCAGCCAACCCCACCTGGGCTTGGCTGCGAGCACACGAGAAAGAACAAGCAGTCGCAGTATCAAGTTTAACGAATTCCGTCACAGGAGAGCGTGATTGCTACCGCTCAGCTGGAAAGCCTTTGTTTTAGGGCGATGCAGAATCTTTTCTGTGCCAATGTCTTGAAGCCGTGAATCGAAGTCCCCGCTTAACCTACGGCTCCCTGTGCGGCCCTGTCCTTGGTGATACTCCAGCAGCCGGAGCATGACGCAAACCAGCGCGTTCCGCTGCAGTTCAGAGGAGCTCCGGGCCTCAAGGAAGATGTCCTGAGCTCCGATTTCCGACAGACAGCCGATCTCTGATGGGACGGGCGGTTCACGCGTGCCCGTCAGAGGATATAGTGCTCGGCTTGTTAGGATTCCAAGGCAAGCGCAGCACTTTCAGGGTATGGAGCTTTGGTTTGTTGAGTAACTGTTCAATCTGTTCAGGCCGAAACCACAAAAACTAAGAGAGTGTAAGACATTACGGGCCCCATATTTTCCAGTCAAAATGCTGTTTTCTAAGAGTTTTCATTACAAAAACTTACAATCGTCATAATTTGCATACTCGTGGTTTTCAAGCTTACTTAACCCTGTTGCTCTTGATGCCTGATATGGGAAATACTTTTCCAATCAACATGGGATGCACGTGTGACTACCTTTCATTGTGGAGTCTCACGAAGACTATCCGATAAATCAATGCCACTTCAATCTTGTGGTTGTTCTTTGTGTCTCATAGTATAATCTTGCAGATAAATGAGATACAATGCGTCTGCGAAACCGTGCATTTCTCCACCCTTGAATGATGTACAAGACCGGTCAATCTATATAACTTTTGTATATCAGCGTAAAGAATCGCTTACATATCCTACCGGTTTTTGCAGGCCCCATCATGTGCATGGTAACATATGATTTTGGATATAGACGTCCAGCATATACTGTAGCATGACAAGTTGAGTTTGGCATCATACAGGCAGGTTGCTCAAACAGTTCCCACCGTCTCAAGCTGTATACATGCAGGCGATCAACTGGATCGTGTTACCGGATCCATTTGCATATGTACATATATACATATATGTGCATAGATGTCTTTGCTACATTCAGTTTCGATACCGTTTTTTTTTTTTTTTTCTAGCTTGTTTAGTGCAACCTCCTTCAAAAGCGTATTTATTGTTTGCGATTATTATTGCATTGGTTGTCCTTGTTTCGGAGCTCCCAGTCCAATAATTTGTCCAGTATTTGGAGCTGTGTGTGCGGAATTGTGTATTTCAATTGCAATAGCTTCTCACAGAAGCCTACCCAGAAAACTGAAAACCTACGACCTTCGAAGGCAATCATCGCATGGATGTTGCTGTATACATCCTGACAGCTACAATGCTGGCTTATTCAGATTAGTGATCATTGCGGCTGAAGCCCACAAGCCCCCAAAGGATAAGGATATAATTGAGTTAATATACTTTTCAAGGAGATGGTGCTTTGCTATCATTATTGTATATGCAGACATATGGAGATCCACCTGCAATATTAATCATTTTCGCTGTCTTGTTGCTCATACCATCTAGTCATAAGTTGACTGCCGTGAAAACACATTATTTGCACATGCACACACAAACATACACCGACACGCACATACGATTGTCATCAGCTGTAAACGATACCGCTTGTTATATCTATGCTGCAGGCAATGCACCTGTATGCCGCAACCATTCTAATATGGTCTTGTTAAAGCCCATGACGCACTTCATCGTGTGTCTTGTGGATATCTCCGTAAACTAAATCCTGTTACCCAAGAAAACGTATAAGAACTATACTATGCCTAAAACCAACTTTTTAATATGTGACATCATCAAGAAGTCAAGTATCTCTTGTGGTGGAAGTAAACATGGCAGATTACATTGGCAGCTGCATGCCAGTTTTGGCAAGAGTAATGGAGCCGTCATAATGAGGCACCCAACCGGCAGTTGAACATGATATTCGCCACATTCCTTCGATGTAAAAGGCATGTTATGTGTTGAATATGGCCATATCAACATAGAGCACCAGGAAATTTCTTCAACATATCATTATGATATTGAGCCATCCGTATAGATCATCGCAGTATGTGTCCTTATAAGATGCCCGCATCGTTCGGGCTTCCCCCTTTACGCCTTCCGGCCGCGCGGGCAAGCGGGATTGCACCACATATTGGTTAAACCCCTCGGTAGACCTTTCTAAAAGCCCGGAGACTTATTCTCACACATAAACCCAATCTCGCATGAAGTTACAACAGTCACAGCTAAGTATGAATAGGTCGCAAGATGCAGGCAGCATCTCATGACACATATCTTCACTATGAGATTTGACTTAGATGTCCTCGTGCATCCCGTGAGCTTGCCAAGCTCGTATGGCATCTCCCTAGCACCTCATGCTACATGCGCACGAGTGTGTTACGCCATATCATACTATGATGCGCATGATTCTTCACCATGACGTGCTCATGAGATGTATTGTTTCCATATCTAGCCAGTTTTGGTATAGTGATATTCAGATTACTGCGAGTAGCCGATCCTGATCACAGGAACATAAACCAATAATGATTTCCAGTTGTAAACTCCCCGACAGAGCCCACCATGTTGCTCGAACATCGCACAAGTGGAATATTCAAACTCCCGTTTTCATGCACCTATAAGATAGTCGGATTCGGATTCCTTACATCGCAACCTGTCAATGAAAGGCGAAGACAGTGTTTGTTGTATATGTTATCGAGGAGACTGGTCATACATGTATCTGACATCCAGCATATATACCGACCGTATGTCCTCGCATATGCTACCACATCATATGCGACATCAAGCATTGTTGTTATCGCTTGACTACGACAGACCCTTCAACTGGTTGTCCACCTGGCATTGCTCAGGCAGTGGTTGTGTCGTGAGTTCGCATCCATCGAATGTATGTTAATGTAAGGTCTCCTCGTCATATGATGTCATCAGTCATAAATAGTTTATCATCTTTGTGAGCTGTAATCTCAGATATCGACTTTTCTATACGCAGTAAGTCTCTGAGGTCTTTTATAGATTCTATAGATGTTTATCTGGTAAATTTGTAATCTCATTGATCTTAATATTCGGCATAGAGTATCTACTCACTTGCAGTGAGGCTTGCATGGGCTAAGGGCTAAGGACACCAGGTTTAAATCATGTGGCTCTTGGTTGGTGTCCGCTCCCGCAGTATGGCGCACCATGGCGTTGGCTGTCGCTTGCCTTGCTGTCCCCGCGCGGGGGGGGGGGGGGGGGCCCACACCAAAAAAAAACAACAAATCTGGGGGGGGGGGGGGGGCAGCGCAAAAAAAAAGATTGTAGATTTTAGTTGTTTTTTTTGTTGGCGCTGCCCCCCCCCCTCCCCTCCAGATTTTTTTTTTTTTTTCGGCCGCCCCCCCCCCCCCCGCCTTCCCCTTAGTAGCAGTGTTCTCGCCCTTCGGGCCTAAACCAGCCAAGAAGTGAGTCAAACCTCCTGCTCTATAGTCACGTCGACAGTTGAAACAAGCACATGTATGGGTATACGTACAAGTATCCTATTTAAGAATATGCATATGAGGATAACGATATCGTGTGCACGAGTGATGTTAGTGATGTTGCTTCAAATCTGAAGCAAACCAAAAACATGAAAAACAGTAATGCTGTAAATATGGGGCCCGTAATGTCTTATTTTCTGAAAACTAACGATGACTATGCGCTGCGGCGTTTGGTGACCGAAGACCCTCAACTGGCAGCGAAAGCCCTGTAGTCGCAACTGGCAGCAAAAGCCCTGTAGTCGCAAGAGTTGACGTAAACAAGCAAGGAGGCTTAGCGTCGTGCATTCGATCACAACGGCATCATCCCCCCCACCCCTACCCCTCCACCCCCTCACGGCGAACGAGGGGAATGGACCTCAAAAGAAGTATCAATGGCAACCTAGTCTACCGGGGATGCCAGCTTAGATGATGGAATGACACCCGTATGAACACACCGTACATGAACTTAAGTCATTTGCAGACAGGCATAGCCATTATTGGGGCACTGCCGCCCAAGTATTGGGGTTCAAGCCTTCAGATGTGTCTGGGCATGGAAAACGCACCCAGCCGCCTCCCTCCCGTGAGAAGCCAGCCAAATCGCGAACAACGACAAACACAGAATGAACCCGATCACGGCGCAAAAGACATAAACGTCGTCGGCTCATCCCCCGCTCCTGCACCCCGCCTCCTCCCCGAAAACAATGACAGGCGCGAGGTTTTCTGCACGCGAAGCCCGCCTGCAAGTACCGATGTGTTGGAGGCCCCACCTCCGCTCCCTCTCGAAAACAGTGGCAGGCGCGAGGTTTGCAGCTACGAAGCCCGCAAGTGCCGATGCACAAGCCGTCGGAGCCCCAAACAACATCAGGAGGTCAAAGGTTGCCAAAGGTTCTTTATTGGAGGTCGCCCCTGCGATTGAAAACTTGCCGGGCCTGACAGGGACGAGCAGCAGCCTCGTCAATGAGTGTGAGGGCGTTCCATTCACTGCACAGGTGCAGCACCTTCAAGAAGCACATCTGCTTCGAATCGTTGTCAATTGTCTTCTCCGCACTGCAAACTATCCAGTCGCTGTGCCTGCGACAAGTTCTGCTCAACTTCCTGCGCGTTGATGCCGAGATCACCAGCTGTAACCACCTGTGTCTGAATGAAGTATTCGCGTGCTGTGACTATATAGACATATAGACATTGAGAAACATGAATCTGATAATTGCTGTAGGAGGCACATAGAGCGGCATGTGAAGCATCTCAGCGATAGCTTCAGCCGTCAGTGTCTTGCCACAGCCAGGTGGACCATACAGCAGAAAGATTGTGTTATCTCCCTGGCATGCAACGAGTCAGCCAACAAAAAAAGCTTGATATGTTCGTCTTCGACATGTTTCTCGCAGTTGATTGAGGTCCAACCCAGCTTCACAAACCAGGTCCAAATTTTCCTGGGCCCGCGAACTGTCATAAGCACCACAGCCGCAGTGTAGCGACAGCCCTGCGCGGCTAGATTGGGTCTCTAAGAGCTTTGGTCCCGAACTCGAAGCGAAACTCTAACTCGTAGCAGGGGCCCAACGCCCACACACTTGTTGTTACGATGGCTCGTGCTGGAAGTCGACGTGCAAACCCACATCACAAAGTATATGCGGACAGTTGTATTCCTAGCGAAAATTGTGAAAGCCGCTCCAACATCAAAGCCGAGATCAAAGCTTAAAGGACGATCTGGAAGAAGAGTGAAATGTACTGCACACACGCACCTTTCATTCCTGAGCGACCTACATGCAGATTGCACCAGTGCTGTTTGGAACTAGCTGCCGGCAGCGCCTTGCCCTCAATGAAGTCCAGGCCGCTTGTGCCGGCGTGCCGCACAGCAGACCTGGGCATGCAGCACTTGAGATGCCTGATCTTTTCAAAGCTCTTGCAGGAAGCGATCTGACATCGCTAGACCCTTGAACTGCTCACGGTGGCCTTCAAGCTACATGCACCCCAACCCAGGAGTCTGACCGGATGATCTCCTTCGTGTCGTCAGGTAGAACAAGCTGTTGAAATGCATCTGCTCGGAATTGAATTGGGGAGGTATCTGCCACCAATACTTGGCCCCAGCACTTCGCAGTGAAGGAAAACCCAACCATGGCTGGCCAGGCCATCCAAAGCTCGGAATCCTGAGGATCCTGAACCAGGCGAAGAGTTTCAGTGCCGTGCTTCTGCTGCAGCTTGAAGGTTCGCAGCGCTTGCTGGAGAGCTAAAGAGCAGTTGTCTCCACCACGAGCAGCATGATGGCCGTACTCGTGGCCACGCTGTGTGTCTAGCATGACGCGGCCCCCTGAGAGGGTGGCATGCTTCGCACGCCCATGCGCGAAGAAGGAGCCGCGCGAATACTGCACATACGGTGAGCTCATGGCTGCATCTCTGTACTTCTTGCCACGCTGATGCAGCTTCTCCAGCACCTGTGAAGTCATTGCTATATAGAACAAAGAATCCAATCTTCGGACGCCCTTGTAGGCAGACATGACCTCTTGAAAGTTGACGAGCGCGAAACTGGATCCCAAGTATGCCAAGAATTCTAGCTCCATGTGGAAAGACTTCTCCGGTCCAAAGAGAGTTTGCTGCTGTTGGTACCAGCTCTGCAATACCGTCATGCCAACCGGCTCGCTCAAACCCTCCACTTGCATGAACACCTGCGATGAGAATTGGACTTCCAAATGAAAGAAATCAACTCAAGGAAGTTTTCACGCAACAGGCTGGCCTTCTTTCCCGGGATAAAAACCTCAGCCAGGGCTGTGAATTGCACATGACCTCGGTGCTGGCAGGGTTGACTTCGACGGACACACTCTGAAAAGACACAGTGGTACTTTCGGAAAATGCTGCCGCCACGCCGGAGCCGATCTCTTCCCTCAGACTCTCCAAATCCTCGATCTCGCCTTCCACGGTTTGAATAAGCTCATCCAAACCGGGCAAATCGACAGGGCGTTCTCCAGCTTGAACGCCTTTCGAGTTCACTGTGAGCTGCTGCATGGTTGGGCGACTTGCAAGGTCAGCTCAGGCTCTCGCCACAAGAGGAGCAGAATTCCAAGAAGCGCCTGCGGAGTTGAATCTTTGCCATCTGCCAGATCGGCTATATTTGGCACCACACTCGAGGTTGCTGCCAAAGTGCTGTGCATCTGCCGGGCGAGTGGCCGCGTTGTAGTTGTCACACTCGAACCGCAATGCGCGAAGGCGCCCCAAATACCGCACGGCTTGATCGACACGGACACCCTTCAGGCATATGCTATGCTTAACAATAATGCTAACCTGCGTATGCACCAGAACCCTTTAAGCTAATTCTGTGTCTGCTGTGCACAGAGGACATGACTGTCATGATGCCATGATCATGACCATGAAGTATGCTACCGGCTGAACGGATCTAGAAGGCCTTCTCCCCTCGTCCGCTGTCCGTAAGTTGACGGACGAGGAAAGGTAGCTGAGACCCGCTGCTGGTTGTGAACTTGATCACCTGATTTCAGAGCATAAGACTCTCTTCTATTCGCACCTGACTTCCTTTGGCCAGTTGCCTGGATGCAATTGCTGTTCAACATCTCTGACAAGATGCCCCGCCCTTCTCCGAGTTCGGCGGGCGCTCCAACTGGAAGGGTGGTGCCAAGTCCACCTTGATAACGACTTCATGCATGCCGTGATGATGCTGAACCCGTGGGTGTTGCCAGTGAAGCAGCACGTCCAATGAATCGGCTGAGCGGCTGAGATTGCTTTGGGCTCCGGTTGCTTCGCGACCTCTGGTTTCTTCGTAAACGTTGGCAAAGGCGGGCCTTTGCTCTTGCCTGCCGGACAAACGACATGAGATGTGCACGGCGGCCCTTCTGCAGTCTTGCCTTTGCCCTTCGCAGAACCGCTGACGGCAACCTGAAAGCAGCAGACTCTCGGCAAGCAAACCACGGATTTTCGGAGCAAAGTCTTGGAGGCCTCGGCAGTCGTTTCAGGGGAATTGCTGGCTTCTTGACAATCCTGTGTCTCCATGGGCTTCCAGGCCGGTGCTCTGTGGGCTGCAGAACAAGGATCGCTTGGTGTAGCATGGAGGATATGATATCTTTTACACAAGCGCATGGCAGCCAAAGATCTCTTGTAACGTAATGGGTCACATTCCACCAATCTAAGGAATCTCAGTGCAGCCGCTTGGCTTGATCCTGAAATCACAATGCCGGCTTGGACACTTAGTGTCGGCCTGTGCACCAGAACTCCATGAATGATGCCGAGAGGACGCATGCCAATGCGGGGTCACCAGGCTTCGGGCTTCCCAGCCTTTGCCTTTTCGGCCACCATTGGCCTGCACATGCGGTCGTGCCGCGTAAGACAGGGTCATCTGCGGAACCTAGGGCCGGGGGCGCTGCAGCACACATGCCCGGTCTCGTCCGTGATAAGGGTCAAATTGCAGCGCCGATTTCTCCAAACCTCGACGCGCGGTCCCGGACGTTTACAGGCAAAGCAGAAGTAGGTCAGCAAACTGGAAGCTGAATTGATTCTGTCACAGGCTGCCTTCGACGTTCGAAATGAACTCAGATCTTTCCGCAGTGTTAAGGGTCGCTTCGAGCTTGCAGGGGCTCAGGCGCAGTGCATGCTTCTTGAACTGCATGTCTGCCACCAGTTCGTCTTTTGCGGCCTGTTGGCTGGCAGGTGGATACGGCGCACCAACTCTCCGACAGACAGATGTGTACATTATCGCAGCAGGTTGTGAGGCACGGAATGCGCTGATGGTCGCACCATCAGAGCATCAAGCAACTTTTCGCCAGCATCGATGTAGCTACCTTTGCAGCACGTGCTTCGCAGTTGAAACTCATTCCCCTTCTTGCCACGGGGACCAGGCCAAGGTGTCTGCTGCTGGATGAGAGAACACGCCTTGGGCAGAGTCCAGTGGCCTCTGGCGGCCTCTTCAAGAAAGGGAACAAAGGAAGCTGAAGCTTCGGACTCTTCCCGCTCCAAGGCCAGCTGGAAGTCATCCTAAGAAAAAGTGCGTCAAAGCAGCGGCAGCGTTCACGAAGGGCGGTGCCTCAACGTTCTCCTCTTCCGGCCGCTGGCTCCGAAGAAGCAGCCTCGAGTCTCAGATGCGATCTGCGGCTTGTCTTGGGCTCCTGGCTGCACCTCCTCTCGCAGATCTCTGTAGGAACTTTCAACCTTCGACATCTTCGGCTTCGGAACTTCGCAAGTCCCGGAAGAGCGAAGAGCGGCCAGCGGCTGGTATCATCCTGGGATCCATGCGACTCCTGGTCCCGTGTGAGCAGGAACAAGGACTGATTCACCTGAAACGCGCGGCGCCTTAGCCGCATCGTTAGCTAGAGTCGGAGGCTCGTCCAAGGCCCGGGCTCTTCGAATCAGCAGCTCCGTTCCTCTTTTTGAACCCTCCAAGCTGGGCTCTGAACAAGCAATGCCTGATCCTTCTCCAAACCTTCCTATGCTCTAAGCGGAAGAAGCGACGATCGAGCGACTGGCGAAGCCACGCCGAACGGCAGTCCTTCAACGCGCTGCATCAGCAGACGAGCGAGGTGCTCTGAAGCAAGGACCTGCAAAAAGAAGAACCGCAAGCCAAGCTGGACGAGCTCGTCATTTAAGCCAAGTCGTGCGCCCTCTTCTGCAACTTCTGGGCGACGCCAGTACCTTTCATAGAAAGATATTTTCATGCTTCACTGCTCTGCCGACTCTGGTGGTCTCTCAGCTCACCAGCCCAGTCTTTGGTGGCTGGCTTCGGCTTCGCCTAGCGGACTACGAAAAAACGTCTATGTACACATGCTTGTCCTATCGGCACCTGGAAGTGTTGCTCCACGGCCTTGCGCAGCGTTCTTGCCTCAGAGCTTGTGAAATGTATCTGCGAGAGGCAAACTCATGTGGGAAACATGCAATGCTCTGCAACATGATGCTTCAGACAAAGGGGCAGTATTCAATTGATCCTTGAGCTGTGAGTCGCGCCATCTGAGGTCAGCAAGGAGAAGTGCTGACACAAGCAAGGAGTACAAGTTTCAAAGCCAACCTGGGATCTCGAGGTGAGCACCTCAGGCTAGCAACGGGCAGATTGAGGCTTCAGCCCAATCAAGAGACAAAAAGCAAGACGGAGGGAAGCAGCGACACAAACCAAAGGAGCATCAACAGAAATACGACCACCAGCACCACCCGCGAGAGAAACAAACACCTTCAATCTCCAGCACGTTCTTGTGGTGGCGGGAACTGTCCAGCACAATTCGACACAGTCGAGAAAAGTTTCGTTGTTCCACCCTTTTTTTGAACAAAACCTGCATTGCCTCAGAGCTTGTGCTGTTCAGTGTGGATAAACCCCGCAAACTGTGCCTCGGCTTCTCGGCTTCTCGGCTCCAGGCCCTTGAGACGAGCTCATGCCAGTACTCCTTTCAAGAGGAGATGGGATGAGATGGGGGTTTTTTGAAGTCGTCAGATGACTCCAGCACTACTTTGCAAGGCTCGCCCTTTTTAAACTCGGGAGCGCTGCCGGCTTGCCGGCACAGGTGCACCAGAAAAGTTCATTATCTAGCTAGCACCTCTTGCTGCTTGGCAGCTCGGAGATGTTCGAGCTAAAAAAGTTAATTGACTGCCGAAGCAACCTTTGAAAGTCCTGGGCGTGCTGATGCTATGACCCACTACATTCTGAAGCCAGCTTGGTACTAAGATGCAGCCTGGCATTCCTCGTGCACCACTCCCTGGCCAAATGGGAGCGCTGCAACCAACCAAAATCAACAAATGTACAGTGCCAATATGCGTCTGCAGGCCTGTAGGGTGCCATCTGCACCTCCAGCAGGTGTTGGACACGGGCACAAAGTGGGCATAACATGATTCTCTGTGCATTTCACCCGGCCTGTAAGCTTGAAGACCATGCCACTGAACCTTCACGGACAGGTGCAGGCTCTGTTCCTACGCTCCTCCTAGCAATCAATGGGATTGGCATAGCTGCGGCCTTCCCGGCAGCGCCACAAGAGGCTCCTGCAGGCTGCCCACGCGCGCAAGCATGCTTGCGTGCTCCGAGATGGCTTGTAAACCACCGTGTTGCGATCACTGGAGTGCTAAAGTGCTACACAAAATACATAGGCAAGATGCCATGCGAACTCAAACAAAGCGACTGTTCTCTTCCTGGCTAGGCCGAACCTACAATGCGCCCACTTAGTCCTGAGTATTGCAAGTTTGTCAGGTTACGGCTCGCTGACATACCCTTATTCTTATTCTCAAGTGTTCCGCCTTGCATCGCCAGCATGCCGGCGCCCACTTCCGCAGGAAGGACAGGTGACATTCCTGCACTGGCACTGCACACGTTTCCCATTGAGGCGACTTGAAAAGCTTCCAGTTTCCTGCCTCGTGGACAGGTCCGTTGCCTCGACCCATCAGCTTCACTGCGCCGCTCACACTCCTCTTGTCCGCTCCGAGCATCGCACCGTGCTTCCCAAAATGTGCATCCTGACTGAAAAGCAATGCTGCTGCCGGCAACTGCTGAGTAGTGGAGTTGCGGGATGCGGGCGCCGCCCTGCGGCCTGCCTTGTAGTTGAAATGCTTCCCACTGAACTGGCCGGCCAACTGCATCACCGGCCTCTGGGTGTCGCGGTGCACTGTAATTCCGGGCTCCCCGAATGCCCGGCCGGGGTTTCTGAGACCAGTGCAGGCCGCAGTGTAAGCAAATCCTCGGACTTGTGGAAAATCGAACTGCGCTTCGACGCCACGACAGCAGGTGCTAAGCGCTGGGCTTCGCAAACTTCTTCTGAAACGCCTCGTGGCACTCGGAATGGACCTGGCCTGGAGCAAACGGCAGCAGACAGCTTATTTAACGTCCCAGGTGTCAGGATGGAATCTGCCCACATGGTCTACGACATCGAATCAGTCTGGCCAGCACATGGTTGCAGACTGAAAAGCAAACTCAGACCAAACCAGCGTGGAGTTTCTTAGCAGCCGCAAGGCCCACGGCCAGGTTCCATCTGGCTTTGCTCTTGGACTGTGTTTTGTTGACTATTGCCTAGCAGTGTCAGTGCCCATGTCGCGATAGCAAAATAGGAATGTCCCAGCCCGTAATCACGATGTGGACTAGCACTGAACAGCAAGCATGAGGAGGCTGCATTACGTGATGATCAGTATGGACTAATTGGATAAAGCAAGAATCGACTTGACGCGGGGCGGACAACACCGAGGGGACTTGCTGGTGCCCATTCACTAGCGGCTACTTTAGTATGGTAAGTCAATAGACACATGGGCGGCGCAGAGCATGGTTCCTAGCAGGCAGCAAATCAGCTTGTTCACTCCGCATGGAGGTCACAAAGGATGTATCAAGAACTGCAGAAATCACAAGCGTGTGCGAGTTCTTCGAGCGGTAGACTGCAGTGGACGCAACACTTCTAGTCCCGAACAAAAAAACACGACACAAGATCGAAGTCTGTGCCGGGAAATTTTACTAGAATCTTGCGACCTACCAGGACTTTCCTGATCTGAACGGAATATCAAGCAGAAGGAGTTTGCGGCTCCAACTTTGGAAGGACCATCCCGCCATGAAGCAGCAGTGTTTTTGGTGACCGCTGCTTCAACAACGAGTCTGTTCAGCATGGACCTGTGCTACCTCCAAGACTCTTCGACGCTTGGTACACTTCTCGATTTGTGCGTGTCATCCTTGCGCAGGGGCCATGCTAATCTTTTCTGTATCGTTCCAATTTTATCGGATGATCCCCGAAGGAAGACTCTTCGGGAACGGCCTTTAGGAGCGCTTGATGCCGGGGTTTACATTTTAAATGCCAGGAACTGCCAGCACCAACCTGCTGCGTGATTGCCAAGCTGGTTCGCGGTGTAAGCAAAGAACTGTCCTCCCGATTTCATGACCATGACAAACTCGGACAACTCAATTAAACTCAATGCTATAGCTGAGCCTGAAAATCGGCCGGGCATGCGCACGATAGCTTCAGAACACTGCAAGCATCTCGGGGCAGCTCGCCTTGGCGTGAGCTTCTCAGGCAGTTACCAGACGGGTGGCTCATGGTGGCTCCGTTGCGGTCTTGAGGGCATCGCATCATGAACTTTTCGAAGCACTCCTGCAATCGGACACTATGTCGGCACTCGGTTGCACTTGCGAATAGGGTACAGGCAGCTCCTCATGCAGAGTGGCTGGCCCTCCCGGATCGCTCTGGCTCAGCACTCTGTAAGCTCCAGAGAAGCGGCCCGGCCTTGCATTCATAGTGCACAAAAGCATACAGTCTCCGTTAGTTCGTCTCCGAAACGAGAATGGAAACCATTTGGACCAAGCGCAGATACTGTGATTGGTGCTCGGCACACTCCACAGGTAACTGAGAAGTTCGCACTCTGGTGCCGACGGGAGCACGACATTCTGAGCCTGTCTCCACCGCCAATTTGAATGACCAACATGCTCGCTAGTCATTGCAGGCTGGTCGCATGGGTCTGCTGTTGCTTGCCAGGAGTAGTTCGCCGAGAACGACTTCGAGGGATCAAGCCACGACACAACTGTGAGCTGACCTCACGTGCTGGCCGCAAGGCACGAGGCGATTGAACTCGTGTGGTGGCTGAGTGCGTGCGAGGTGCGCTGTCCGGGCTTCAGGTCCACAAGCTGCGTATGTTGCTCATCACCAGCCACTGGAATGCTTCCCTCCCAGCTTGGGAAGTTGGGCTGAAGCAAGGCGTTCCTCAGCTCGTGGGCGCATCTCCGACATGACCCAGTTCTTGGTCTTGAAACAGTCAAGGGTCTGCAATCTCCACGTCAGAGATGCCAGCAGCCCGGCTGGGGCGCTCGAGGCATCAAAGCAAAGAGCAATAGTCCCAGACTCACGGTCACTCCAGCAGCGCAGCTGAGCGCCTCGCACGTGTCCCCTATAGTCGTGGAGGATATGAGGAATACTCTAAGTTGATTGCTCCAACACCAAGTCAACTCTGAACTCTGCTCCGCTCTGCTCCGCCTTGTTCCTCCTTGAGACAAGCACCGCGTGGTCCCATGGCGGCTGCTTCGTAGGCCTCTCGCTGAGCTGCCATGGATGCCCCCGGGCCGTACTCAAGCCTTGCAGGACACGGGGCGTACACCTCAGATTCTCAGATAGTCACGAGTCACATCAAGTCACAAATCAAGAGAGGAGCAACCGGAGCAAAGTGGAAGCTCAGCGGTTCTTCGACAGGGAGCTCGCAATGTGCCCTCGCGGTTCCAGCTGCTCACTGGTGACGCTTGCAACCAGTGGACAATCACCAAGTAGTGTGTACCTCTAGCATGTGACCAGAGGCATAACAAAATATCCGACAAGATGCCGCTCGTGATTTCACTGACATGCTACGATGTTCCTACTGCCACGCTCACAAACGCATCCCACCTGCTTTCATTTCGACCGGTAGTAGAACTTCACGCTGCGCACCGAAGCTGGATGACGCCACATGTCGGCTTCCCTGGGTTTGACATGCAGACCTTATGAGCACGGGGCTGTTGTCGCCAGCACGAACCAGAAGTGCTGTTCTCGCCGAGTGCCAGTAGCAGCTGCAGGCAGGGCACGTGGGAGATGCGGAATCTATTGGCGACGTGATCCTCAAGTATTCGCATCCATGGTTGCGTGCAACACGCCCACGCTTCTCGAGGAGCTTCTCTTTCGACCGAGTGACTCAAGCACTTCGATACGAGCAGATGAGTACTTCCTGCGCTTGTTCCGGGTGAACAGCTCATCCGAGTCTTGCAACACGGAAATGACGACCTGCGCAATCCCGTTAGCAAATGTCATCTTGTCGATTAATTAACTGGGGCGCCGACATGCAAGGGCTTGGCATCGCCCAGGTGCGTGCGTTCAGCAGATGCGAGCAGCCGCAAAGTGGCAGAAACCTGCAGAAAAGTCACAAGTGTGCTTCTGCCTCCTGCACATGCCTCCACGGACATGTCGCAAATCTCTGCTGACCTGCGTTTGTGCTCCTTTCAACGTTTGCTTGGGCTGGACCGGCAAGATGCTGGAGACGTAGCCGGTGCCTCGTGCTACGGCGGCACTTTGCATGCTGCATCCCCTTTCACGACAGCACGAGTTGATTGCTGCGACCATTAGCATGCAGTAGCCTGCACTCAGTTTAGCTGCGTAGTGAAGATCTGAATCTGAATGATCTGAGCAGTCCAGACAAAACTCACGGATCAACATAGATCCGCCGAGGCCAAAGGTGTCTTGGCGTCTTGATGGTTAAGTTAATACTAACCAAACGCAAACTTCCACCCGTTTTTAGCGCCTGTTTTCGACCCCCTTGCCCCGCTTCCGTCCTGTCACGCGTGATTTTCACAGTTTCCCACCTTCCCCCCTCTCCTCCCCCCTCAATTTATTGCTGATTTTGTTGCCCCCCGCCCCCACCACGGCCAAATCGGCCCCCCGCCCCCCCCTCCCACCCTTCCTTCCTGTCCTTCGCTTGCGTGTTTTTTCCATTGCTTACTTCCCGGCCCACTTCTCTTGACTTGTTTTTTGTTCTACCTGTCCTTTCTTCTTCCAAGCATTCCTTCTTCCTCTTCCACGTTCTTGGCTCTTTCTTCTTTTTCCACCTGTCCGCTGCTTTCTGGCCCCAAGCTCCCTCCTTCTCTTTCTTCCTTTTCCTTCTGCCTCACTTCCTTCTTTTTTTGTTCATTTTTTTCGCCTTTCCCTCTTCCCCCACTACTTTTCCATCTTCCCGCTGCTCCTTGCCCTGTTCCCGCCCCCCCCCCCTCTCCCCCCCTCCGCCCGGGTCAGCCCCTCCATTCCCGACCGACTTCTCTTGCTTGCCCTTGACCCCCCCTGCCCTTTCTTCTTCCAAGCGTTCTTCTTCCTCCCCCACATCCTTGCCCTTTTCTCCTTTTTCCACCTTCCCGCTGCTTTCCGGGCCCAGGTTGTTTATGGGTATTTTTTATGGTTTTTTCTGGGTATTTTTTTTATGGTTTTCGGTGCTGGAATGCTAAAAAACCTGCAAGAGTCACGAGAAAGGGCCTGGCTTTAGGTCTTTTTTTTGGTAATTTTTATGGTTTTCGTTCTTAGCTTCTATAGAACCTGTACGCGTTACAAGGATGGGCCATATGTACATGCAACATAGTGCACGGCGCTCATGAGACACCCTGTGCACGGCCTCACATTCGCGCACTTCTGCTTTTTTGGCAGCGTCGCAGCAACTTACCGGCATCCACGCACGTTCTCATCGGGAACCATGTGCGAACGCACTTGCAAGCGGTAAGCACCCCCTTATTTGGTAACTCCGGGTCAGCCTATAGCTTAAACACACAACCCTCAATTGGCGATAACGGTTCAACATACATGATAAGCGCCCCCCCTCATTTGGCGATAACGGTTCATGATACGTGTTAAACAACCCCGCTCATTTGGCGATTCCGGTTCACCATATATATATATATATATATATATATCTATATATATATATATATGAAGCACACCCCTTATTTGGCAATTTCGCTTCACCATATACGTCTTTAACACTCCCTCATTCGGCGAAAACCGTTCACCAAAAATCTTAGCTTGCGTGGCCCAAACATAAAGCGAGGGGGGGACGGGATTTGAAAAGTCTCAGAATAGTTATGCGCTTGACTTGCTGCGACCATCGCAAATGGCCACAGCGTTCTTGATGGTACGAAGTTCGCTAAGGAAAAACAGGGCTTGGGAAAGCGGGGGGGGGGTCTGGGGGGCGGCGCAGCCCACCCCCATTTGCAAACGCACTTGCAAGAGGACCGGCGGTTCATCACATTATAAGCAAGCGCCCTCATTTGTCGATTCCGGTTCACCATAGATTGCGCAAAAAATCTTAGACACACCCCTTTCCGGTTCACTATATATCTTTAGTACGGCCCCTCAGTCGGCGATGACCGTTCACCATATATCTTAAACACGGCCCCTCTTTTGGTGATAACGGCTCATCATATCTTCAACACGCTCCCTCATTCGGCGATTCCGGTTCACCAGATATCTTTAACACGCGCCCGCATTCGGCGATAACAAGACCCCCTCATTCGGCGAAAACCATTCACCGCGGCCCAAACATAAAGCAGGGGGAGGGGGTTGGGCCCCTAGGACGGGCTGTGAAACGTCTCATATATGTCAGGCGCTTGACTTGCTACGACCAATCGCCAATGATGGCCAGAAAGCTTTCTTGATGGGACGATGTTCGCTAAAGCAAATTCACTACGGAGCTGAAGAAAGCGGAGGGGTTGGGGGGGGCGCAGCCCCCCCCATTTGCAAACGCACTTGCAAGCGGTAAGCACCCCCCCTTATTTGGTAACTGCGGGTCAGCCTATAGCTTAAACACACCACCCTTAATTGGCGATAACGGTTCAACATACATGATAAACGCGCCCCCTCATTTGGCGATAACGGTTCATGATACGTGTTAAACAACCCCGCTCATTTGGCGATTCCGGTTCACCATATATATATATATATATATATGAAGCACACCCCTTATTTGGCAATTTCGCTTCACCATATACGTCTTTAACACTCCCTCATTCGGCGAAAAACGTTCACCACATATCTTAGCTTGCGTGGCCCAAACATAAAGCGAGGGGGGTTGGGCCCCTGGGACGGGATTTGAAAAGTCTCAGAATAGTTATGCGCTTGACTTGCTGCGACCATCGCAAATGGCCATAGCGTTCTTGATGGTACGAAGTTCGCTCAAGAAAAACAGGGCTTGAGAAAGCGGGGGGGGGGGGTCTGGGGGGCGGCGCAGCCCCCCCCATTTGCAAACGCACTTGCAAGAGGACCGGCGCTTCATCACATCTTAAGCAAGCGCCCTCATTTGTCGATTCCGGTTCACCATAGCTTGTGCAAAAAATCTTAGACACACCCCTTTCCGGTTCACCATATATCTTTAATACGGCGCCTCAGTCGGCGATGACCGTTCACCATATATCTTAAACGCGGCCCCTCTTTTGGGTATAACGGCTCATCATATCTTCAACACGCTTCCTCATTCGGCGATTCCGGTTCACCAGATATCTTTAACACGCGCCCGCATTCGGCGATAACAAGACCCCCTCATTCGGCGAAAACCATTCACCGCGGCCCAAACATAAAGCAGGGGGAGGGGGTTGGGCCCCTAGGACGGGCTGTGAAACGTCTCATATATGTCAGGCGCTTGACTTGCTACGACCAATCGCCAATGATGGCCAGAAAGCTTTCTTGATGGGACGATGTTCGCTAAAGCAAATTCACTACGGAGCTGAAGAAAGCGGAGGGGTTGGGGGGGGCGCAGCCCCCCCCATTTGCAAACGCACTTGCAAGCGGTAAGCACCCCCCCTTATTTGGTAACTGCGGGTCAGCCTATAGCTTAAACACACCACCCTTAATTGGCGATAACGGTTCAACATACATGATAAACGCGCCCCCTCATTTGGCGATAACGGTTCATGATACGTGTTAAACAACCCCGCTCATGTGGCGATTCCGGTTCACCATATATATATATATATATATATATATGAAGCACACCCCTTATTTGGCAATTTCGCTTCACCATATACGTCTTTAACACTCCCTCATTCGGCGAAAAACGTTCACCACATATCTTAGCTTGCGTGGCCCAAACATAAAGCGAGGGGGGTTGGGCCCCTGGGACGGGATTTGAAAAGTCTCAGAATAGTTATGCGCTTGACTTGCTGCGACCATCGCAAATGGCCATAGCGTTCTTGATGGTACGAAGTTCGCTAAACAAAAACACGGCTTGAGGGGGGCGGCGCAGCCCCCCCCATTTGCAAACGCACTTCCAAGAGGACCGGCGGTTCATCACATCTTAAGCAAGCGCCCCTCATTTGTCGATTCCGGTTCACCATAGACTGTGCAAAAATCTTAGACACACCCCTTTCCGCTTCACCATATATCTTTAATACGGCCCCTCAGTCGGCGATGACCGTTCACCATATATCTTAAACACGGCCCCTCTTTTGGTGATAACGGCTCATCATATCTTCAACACGCTGCCTCATTCGGCGATTCCGGTTCACCAGACATCTTTAACACGCGCGCGCATTCGGCGATAGCAAGACCCCCTCATTCGGCGAAAACCATTCACCGCGGCCCAAACATAAAGCAGGAGGAGGGGGTTGGGCCCCGAGGACGGGCTGTGAAACGTCTCATATGTGTTAAGCGCTTGACTTGCTACGACCAATCGCCAATGATGGCCAGAAAGCGTTCTTGATGGCACGACGTTCGCTACAGCAAGTTCACTACGGGGCTGAAGAAAGCGGGGGGGGTTGCGGGGGGCGCAGCCCCCCCCATTTGCAAACGCACTTGCACGCGGTAAGCACCCCCCCCTTATTTGGTAACTCCGGGTCAGCGTATAGCTTAAACACACCACCTTTAATTGGCGATAACGGTTCAACATACATGATAAGCGCGCCCCCTCATTTGGCGATAACGGTTCATGATACGTGTTAAACAACCCCGCTCATTTGGCGATTCCGGTTCACCATATATATATATATATATACATATATATGAAGCACACCCCTTATTTGGCAATTTCGCTTCGCCATATACGTCTTTAACACTCCCTCATTCGGCGAAATCCGTTCACCATATATCGTAGCTTGCGTGGCCCAAACATAAAGCGAGGGGGGTTGGGCCCCTGGGACGGGATTTGAAAAGTCTCAGACTAGTTATGCGCTTGACTTGCTGCGACCATCGCAAATCGCCATAGTGTTCTTGATGGTACGAAGTTCGCCAAAGAAA